CGTCGGTCACGACGTGACGTCTCCGTTCCCTCCTTCAGGGAACGAGGGTTACATACGTAACCGAGATGCTTTGTCAATTAACAGAATTATTTTAATAGTTTTAGTTAACAATACCGAATTACATTACCATGCAGTTTTTCTCCCCCTGCCAAAACGACAGCTTGTGGAATGTGCCACTTTTATGACGTAATAGTGTGGATAAACCCCGCCTCCACAGAAGAAGATCAACGCCTGCTTCTACATCACTGTCTGTTTAGCCCCGCCCACCGATTTGCACATGTAGTCTAAATAACGAGAGAGACGAACGCAGGTCTACGCAGAAACCAAACGATAAAAATGCTTCGAAGACAACAAGATGCTGTTCAGTGCATGTAAGTTGTGGAAAAACAGTCTTTGCATAACCTTCCATCGGATCCCAACATTAGGGAGGAATGCGGTCACTATTGCTTTGTCTGTTATTACAGATTGTTTGATATGAACTGAGTATTTATGCGTTTTTAACCTAAATCACAGCAGCGGCGTCCATCTATGAAGGGTGTAGGCTGTCAAACTTACACAACTGTTAGCCAATCATAGCAGTGGCGTTTACTTCCGAGTCTACAATCCGCCACGACTATTCAAAATAGGACAGAAAATGATGTTTTTTGATGTCAAATTTTTGATAACATTATAAGTGGACCTCATAGAACAGTACAAAATAATAAAAAAAAGGCAGTTCACGACACCTTAAGTACAGGAAAGAGAACTTCAAGCATCAAGTCATGCATTTTTTTTTTTTTTACATTTATTTATATTTTAAATTATAGGTAAGTGTTTAATTTTAATGCAAAATTTTGTTTGAGCATCACAACCAGTCCAGCACAGCAACACCAGCTCACCCGATTCTGGGGCGGCACTATCTGTAGATAGTGCTTTTGTTTTCTGAAACGTTTGCTGTTAATAAATACCCTGTGTGTCGATGAGCATCCGTAATGTTCCCAGAAGCTTGAACTGGACCGGCGGCATCTCAGATTTGAGGAACTTCAGCACTACATCCGACACACCAGCCAAGAGCATCTTCGATTTGTTGACCACTGGAGAAGAGAGAAGAAGGTGGAGCAGATTTAATTTTAAGACACTCATGCACAGGTGAGTGAATCATTCAATGATTGAGTGAACTTTCAGACTGACCCGGGATGGCGAGGTTCCTCAGAGCGCTGAGGGCGGCATGCTGCACCGTCACGTTCCCCTCTTCAACATGTCTGTCTAACAGCTCGAGAAGCTTCTGTACGATACCAGTGTCTACCATGTGGATGCAGTTCCCATCTGTACACAAAAAAGCACTTATTTACACTCTCAACACAGTGATCATCATGATCTTGCAGTTGCAGGACTGATGTCTAGTGTTGGGGGTAATGCATTACAAGTAATGCGAGTTACGTAATCAGATTACTTTTTTTCCAAGTAACTAATAAAGTAATGCATTACTTTCTAACTTACAAGAAAAATATCTGAGTTACTTTTTCAAATAGGTGATGCTAGTTACTTTGTTTTCCCATTTATTGACTGACAGCTCTTCTGTTCCCATGTTGAGAGAAATCAGGAGTGAGTGCATGATGTTACTGTAGATCTAGACTAAATGTGAACATGCATTTACTCATCTCACTTGCACAAAAACAGATTCATTATTCCTCGAAATGAATAAAAACAGAATAACATTTATATTATTATATTTTATATTCTATATACATATATTTAGTATATAAACATAACATATTTGTCTTAAATATATACATGCATGTGTTTGTATTTATATATACATAATAATTATACACAGTACACGCTCATATATTATGTAAACAAAAGCGTTTATTTTGGATGCGATTAATCGCAATTAATCTTTTGACAGCACTAGATTAGTCTTAAATCATTCAAACCCCAAGATAAAACAGAGACATATACACAACACACACACACACACACACACACACACACACAGTGAATCGCACATCCCTATTAAAAACAAACAAGCAAGCCCAGCTCAGATGAGAAAAAGTAACGCAATATTGTAATGCATTGCTTTTAATAGTAACTTTCCCCAACACTGCTGATGTCTTACCATTGCGGGCAAAGTTAGCGATGGCGAGCGCTCCTGCTAGCTGGAGCTGGTGGTTGTTGGAGGGCACCCATGAGAGGACCCTCTGAAACACGCTGCCTTTACCCCCCTCAAACAGCTTCTGCATCGACTCATCTACAGGAAAACACATCACACACGAGCGTTACACAAAAACATTAATATGACAGAATGAGAGATATTATAAGGCCGTTCACACTAAGAGCAATAACTATAAAGATAACTAGAGCTATATTAGAATCCACACCAGAACCAGGTAAAACTATTCAATGAACCAGCAAGGCAGGTTTTGTCTGGTTTATTCAGCAGAAAGTGCAGTGATCTTATGCCACACTACAAAAGGCAAAACGCATCAACTCCACATTTTGTCACTTTTTGAGTTACGAGTGAAATCGCGTTTCTTAGACTGTGATCTGCATAAGTCAGATAGTTCAACTATGCTCAGATTCAGAGAAAATGGAATGTGAAAATCTTTCGAAGCCCATTTAAGCCATTTTTTTAAATTCAGATGTCTTTTTAGAGCATTATTACTAATACATGTGATATTGAATGGGAACCAGAAAGCACCCTTCTTTCAAATGAAGAGCTGACAGAAATGCAAACTACAAACTAGACGATTATCATGTTCGTAATGAAGCAATATAAACTACTGTTCAAATGTTTGAGGACAGAAATAAAATTTTTTTTTTGCTGCTTTTATTCAGCAAGGATGGATTAATTTGTGAGTAAAGTGAGAGTAAAGATATTTATAATGCACATTATTTTTATTTCAAATAAATTCTGTTCTTTTGAACTTCCTATTCATCAAAGAATCCTAAAAAACACTTACCACGGTTTCCACAAAAATATTGCACTGCAAAACTTGTTTCTTTTGCATCAAATCAGCATATTAGAATGATTTCTGAAGGATCATGTGACACTGAAGACTGGAGTAATGATGCTGAAAATTCAGCTTTGCATCAAAGAAATAAATTACATTTTAAAATATATCAAAATAGAAAAGTCATTTTAAATTGTAATAATATTACTGTATTTACTGTATTCTGGATCAAATAAATGCAGTCTTAGTGAGCACTAAAAAAAAAAAACATTCAAAAATATTTTAAAAATCTTATGAAGAGGTTTCATAAGTGTAAACTGTATGAGAGGTTTGAATTTTCCAACCTCCAGAATTCATTCAGTGAAAGTCATTTTAAAGCCCCACAACTCTTTCAGCTATAGTTTAATATTGATGAAGTGAAATACACATCAGCCTCGCTTCACTTCAGCCTTTCCTTCTCAAGGTAAAAGGAGGTGCATCCCTATTTAGCTAGTAATAAGCTTATATAACTGCTGGGAAACTGAATGAAATGATGAACGTTCACAGGAATAGCACACTTCATTAATTAAACACACAGTATGAGTCATAGCTTGACATTATGTTAAATATGTTTTATAAGGCCCTGTTTGCTTTATTCACACAAGAGGAAATTACACGTAAGGTGCCTTATTGTTGCATGCACCTATATTTGTTCTTTCAAAGCCTTTATTTAAGGGTTGTTTGAGTTCTGTCAGAGGTTTGTTCCTGTACCTCCCAACAGCAGAAGGACCATGAGGTCTGAGGCCGTCTTGAGCTGAGCCACGTCCTCCTCTCTGTCGCTGTCCACCGTCTGAGCCACGACCTCCAGCAGACACTCCACCAGACCAGCATCCACCAGCTGAAGCTTGATCACATCTGACAGAGAGAGAGAGAGAGAGAGAGAGACAAGACGGATACTATTATATCTGAAGCTTCACAGCACACCTTCATGTCTAACAGGGATTTCACAACCCATATTAAAACTCTAGTGCTGCACCTCAGAGTTACAGTCGAGATCAGACACAGACTAATATCAGATAGGCTTGCCGCGATAGACGGTGCTGACGGTGATACCGGTGTTAAGCCGCAACACCGGTTACGTCACTTGCCCACTGCGTCACCGACCCCCACCGTCGTTTTGATTTTTTTATAGTAATAAAAATCATTTAGTTCAGTAAAAGAACAGACACTACAATTAAAAACTGAACGCGGCTGCTCAATGCAGCGTGCCGAACGACAGTCGATTAACCGGTGGGAAAATTTCCTTACCGTCACAACCCTAATATCAGACACCCAAAACTCAGCTCAGATCCAGGCTAAACCGAACCACAGAAACCAAAGCAAAACCTGTTGGACCAAAACCAGGCTGTAATGTTGGATTGAAGTAAAATGAAGCAGAGAAATGCTGAATTTATTGCAGCATTTATTTCAGTTCATTGAGTCATTCATTTTTGTGACCGATCAGTGATTGGTCGATTTGAGCTTATCGGCATTTGCTAGTAGTTTCTTGTATTAATTTCAAAGTCTGACAACAGCCTTGTATATGTTTAATCTATTTCAGTTTTCAGTGTTTTTATGAAATAAAATAAAAGTTTGATTACAGCATTTTTGTGTGCATCTGATCTTATTTGCCATCATTTAATTATATTAGTTATGTATCAGCATTACATTAGTCTTGTCTATCTATGGATAGTCTTTTACAGTTTTCAATGTTTTTATAAAACAAACAAAAAACGGTTTTGATTTTAGCAATTTTGTTGTATATATGATCTTCTTTGCCATCATTCAATTATATTATTTATATATCAGCATTACATTGTCAGCCTTGTCTATGGATAATCTTTTTCAGTATTCAATATTTTTATAATAAAATATAATAAAATTTAGGTTGACTGTAGCAATTTTTTTCTTAATTGCTATTATTAAATTATATTATTTATATATCAGCATTACATTACTCTAACAACAGCCTTGTCTATAGAAAATCTTTACGGTTTTCAATGTTTTTGTAAAATAAAACAATATATATAAAATAATAGATTTTTGCAATTTTTTAAACAAATAATCTTATTTGCTACCATTAAACGATATTATTTATACATCTAACGAGAGCCTTGTCTATGGGTAATCTTTCTCAGTTTTCAATGTTTTTATAAAATAAACTAAAATATTGTTTGATTTTAGCAGTTTTGTGTACACATGATCTTATTTGCTATCATTAAATTATATTATTTACATATCAGAATTGCATTAGCCTAACAACAGTCTTGTCTATGGATAATCTGTGTCAGTTTTTTATGTTGAATAAAATTAAAACAAAAATTTATTTTGGCTATTTTGAGTACATCTGATCTTACTTGCTATCATAGAATAATATTATTTATACATAAGCATTGCATTAGTCTAATGGATAATCTATGGATAATCTTTTTCGGTTTATACTGAATAAAATTAATAAGATAAAAGCTTTGATTTCAGCAATCATTAATTTGCATTATTTAGCTTTATATTGACAACCCTTTTGTTAGAAATTGGCATCAGCCACTAAAAAACCCCCCAAAAACATCAGTTGACAACTATGTCAGACCATAAACCAAGACCCAGATCAAACTCTGGTGCTTTTTAATGCATGTTTTCCCCTTCAAATACATAACAGACTGAATTACATAACTCTCTGACCCAAAAAGACTAAACCAGACAAGTAATGCAACAGACGTTACACCATGACACAATTTCTAAGATATAAACAAATGCAATTTGTATGATTCCAAAAAATGCAGGATAACAATCCAACAGACCAAACATTGACGATTCATACAGTGTCAGCGAATGAGACAACAGCCCAGGGGGAAAACCCTGCACGGATGGATGTCTGAGGTCAGACTGTTGCAGACATATGGCCGTCTCACTATGCATTTGGCTGGTTATGAAACACCTGCAGTGTTCAGGTACAGCACAGCTCAGCCTTTCCTCCTCTGTATCACTCACACACACAAAAGCGCTCTTCCTGCGGCCCACGTGACTGGCAGAGCTTCGCCTGTAGTGCTGTGTAGTGGCTCTAAGTAGGCCGTTGTCTTGGAGACTGGCAGTATGGGATAGCGGTGCTGCGCGCTGAATGCTAACAACCAAAGAGGCGCTTTCACACATGCTCTCGATGCTGTCGGCTTTCCATCTCCCACGTCTGCTCTCGCTCTCCCGCTGCTTTTATCAAAACATACAGGAATTCTTACGGTTCAACTTTTTTATACATTTTATACTACATTTCACTCATACAGTACACTGCAAAAATGGCTGTTAAAAAGATTAGATTTTAATAAATTAGATTAGAATAAATTCATGCTTGTTTGTTTAAAAAAAAAAAAAAAAGTGAAAATCTGAATATGGAATAAAATGCTGGGGGGAAATTAAGAAAATTACAACAAAATAATAAGACTTGTTTTAAGAGAATCAGGGCTATTATAGTTAACAAAAGAAAACATTTTAAAAATTGTTACTTGAAATTAACATGAACTGAAATTTAAAAATTTACTTATTTTATTTCAACTAGTTGCCAAAGCAACATTTCACATTTTCATTTAGTTTACTGTATCTTGAGGTACTGAAATCAAAAAAATATATATATTTAAAAAACTATATAGATACATTTAAAAAACAACGCAATAGCTAATAAAAATGTGAAAAACACAACAAAATTATTAAAACTATAGATTTTAAAAAATGAAAAATTAAGAAAATAATAAGACTTGTATTAGCAGAATCAGTGCTATTTTAGTTAACTAAAACTAAAACCATAAAAAACATTTTCGTTACTTGAAATAACCGTTAACTAAAATAAAAAAAAATAGGTTGCTTTGGCATTTCACATTTTAATTTAGTTTATCTTGATTAACTAAAATTGAAAAAAAAGATATATATATAAATAACTACAGTACACAAAAACGCTAAACTAATAAAAATGACAAAAACAACACAAAATCACTAAAATTCAACATTGATGATTTAATAATTTTATTTTTAAGAAATTTTAAGAAAATAATAAGACTTGCATTAGCAGAATCAGTGTTATTTTAGTTAACTAAAACTAAAACCATAAAAAACATTTTCGTTACTTGAAATAAACATTAAAAATAAAACCTGAAAAAAAAAAAATTCAGATAGTTGCTTTGGCATTTCACATTTTCATTTAGTTTATCTTGATGAACTAAAATTGAAATAAAGATATATAAAAAAAAAAACTACAGTACACAAAAATGCTAAGCTAATAAAAATCAACATCACTAAATATTCAACTAAAATTCAACATACCATTTTCACCATCTAAACACACACTGGCTCTCTTTCACACACAGCTTTCTTTCTGGCGCACATTTCAACACCGCTTCAAATCCTCAGACGCGCTCGCAGACACACAGAGCAGCTGACCGCGGCTGGAGGATTTGCCTTCAAATAAGCAAGTCCAGACCGCAGCTGTAAGCAGACCCCAGAGTCCTATTTTGAGGAAACAATGGTGGTGGCAATGGCAGTGATAACACTTATTATCCAAACAGAGAAGAAGCCGAGAAATCTCACGCATCTGCGTAATTGTAGCTTTCTCAACTCAACCGCGACTCAACTGAAGGCAATAGCCAGCGTCTTGAAAAACGCATTTTGTGACATTTTCACCATCAAATAAGCCAGGTTTTGCATTGCGAGAGATGTCGCTCTCTATGGCTTGGCCAGTTTTGATGTTCCAGCTTACATAAAAACAAAAAGAAAACTGGTAAACTGGTGATTCTTTAATGTAATATTTGAGCGTGAAATCTTGTTGGCTCATGCTCAAGCTTTTTGAGCCAAAACACAGCTGCAAACGCATGCAATCATTTCAAGAAGTGTCTAGCTTCCAACCACAACAGGTGGCGGAGTTGGAATTTCTATAGAAGTAACACAACACGCTCACAGCTGGGAGGAAAAGCCTTTGAGCTGCTGAACGCTGCCGCCCAAGTCACTCAGTCACTGGGTCAGTGGGTCTGTGGCTGCGCTCCAACATCCATATCCATAATCAACAACTAAAGACCCTCAACTCATGCTGAAAGCAAAAGCAGCACGACAAAACTGAAAGCTTAACCTGCGCTGTTTTGATGCATTATGGAAATTATGGAACAGAAATGCATCAACGGTGAATCAAAAATACTGGTGCTAAGATAAAAGAAACTCCTTGCATATCCCTAATGAATACGATTCATTTTATGTCGTTATATAGTATTTCCACAATACAGGTTCAGTTTTTGGCCATTTTGCACTCATCAGCACTGGCCGATGGTTTCTTGCATCAATTTTAAAGCCCAACAAAATATATTACAATAAAATTCTATGCTATATTATTCTATTCAATGTCACATTATTATATTAGAATTACATTAGTTTAACTAAAGCCTTGACTGGACAATCTTTTTTTAGTTTTCAAAGTTTTTATAAAATTAAACTATCTATCTATCTATCTATCTATCTATCTAT